GCAAGCTTCCTACTGAAGCGATCCCATCCAGAATTGTTTGTAAAATGAAAGAGATATATTGTTTTGGAGAATTTGACCGAAAATGCGCTTTTTTGCCGCTTATGGTGCTATTTCACTCCCAAAATTGGGGCTGAAGAGTTGTATCTGTACTGTGAGATCCGGGACACAGCTAGGTAGAAGTATGATAGGTAGATAAGTGATAAGTGGTTCATTAAGTTTGGGATGCATAAAGTGAGCGGCGCGACAGCACCGCCGAAAAAATATGATTTTGACTTCCAGGTTGCTTAATTTCTTGCGATTCACGTGAGCAGTGGGATATGCATAGAGGCGTCCATTCAAACTTAAAATACCACCAGGTTGTGCCTTAAGCTATCCAGAGAGTTAATACGGCGTGCAGTGCCGCGAAGCAAAATTCATGTGCTGTGGAAACTGAAGAAACTAGCCTCGAGGGATATTCAAGCCACGGGAGATCCCTGAATATAGCACTAATATACCCTTTCAGTAATATACCCCTTCTGAAGCTCACGGGGCCCGAACGGAGTGTCTTTCCCTTCTCTTTCTCTCTCTCCTTCGATTTAATTTCTTTAATTTCTTTAATTGATCTAAAAGTCCACACCTATAGTACATAAGCCCCATGTATCCCAAGGCGTGGCAAAGTTCGAAGTCTATCGTATCGAACTCTACAGGTACAAATCATCAAATCGTTGAGCACTGCTTTATATCCGTCATGAGCTCTGTCTCGTTGACTCTACATCGCCTTCCATCTCCCGCTTTTCATTTTGCGCTTCCAAGTCCACGTCCTCACTTTTCAGACCCTCCTTCGCAGCCTTTTTCTGCATAAGCTTCTCCTTCGCAGCCCTCTTCAAATCAGCATCACCCTCTCTCATAAGCTGATGCTGCTGGATGAAAAACAGCGCAGTGAAGAACGAAAGCACCTGACATGCGATCGTCAAATAGAACACGCCGTGGAAACCCTGGGTGTATCCATGAATAATGGCAGCCTTGTTCGCCGGGCTGATACCGGCGCTTGCGTCGTTGATCGTAGTGGGGTCGTTCAGTATGTTCGCGACCATCTCGGAGCTGAGGCCGAGGGGGGTGAGCGTGCTCCGCAGCTTGTTGTTGATGATGGACGCGCAGATCGCTAGGGATATCGTGGAGCCAAAGAGGCGGACGAAGTTCCGCACGCCGGTGACGACGGCCATTTCTCGTCGAGACACGGCTGCTTGGGCGGCGATCAGCGTCCTGTCGGTGTACACGATTAGGTGACCACATTAACCAAGCTTAGAGTATTCGACGTACGTCTGGAAAGTGAATCCTGATGCAATGCCTCCCATAAGCAAGGTGCCCACGATCTTCCCCGTGGACGAATGCTCATCGATAGTGGATTGCAGGCCCTGAGCGATACTCCATATGGCATAGCCAATGATGATATTATATCTATAATGGCCGGTTTTAGCCGTGAATTGACCTGCATCATATTTTAGCACCGTCTAGCTGGCGAAGAGGGTAACAACGTACCGTTGGCGAATACGACAAAAGCTACAGGGACTGCGTCGGACTCATTCCTACATCGTAGGGAGAGTAAACGCACCTATGGGACAGAGGAAGGGCAGCATGAGGACACTGGAATATATGGGCGAGCTGCCTCGGACCAGTTGCAGAAACTGTGGGACATAGTACAAAATCTGACCGATACAGTCAACCCAACAGCGCCTGACAAGGAGATATGAGTGCAACATACAGCGAAGAAGGTCATGCCGCTGCATGAAAATAGGATATCAGTTTGACGTTCCAGCAGACAAGACTCGAGGTAGATACTTTAGGAGTGTGCAGACGTATACGCCTGAAACTGTTTTGTGTCTAAAGATATGGACTAATCAAGGATAAGACGGTGAAAATCAAAAAGACCGTATGAGGGTACGGATGGCACGAACCTGGAATAATGGGCAACGCCGCGAACTTAGCCTCCCAGAACAGGAAGCCCGCCAGGACGAGCACGCCGAGGAACAGAGGCACCAAGACTTGCGCAGACGCCCAAGGATACGTGACTCCTCCCCTGCATTGGAATTTGTGAGCCTCATAACAAACCCGTCCTACAATGAAGTACGACATACCAAGTTAGCGCAATCTACAACGTCATCAGCCATTCGTTTATTCACAATAACCGCGAGAAGAGGGAGCAAAAGAGATGTACCAGGATCAGTATGGATGACAGTATCGTCAGAGCCGAGCCGACATAATCGATCTTGAGGAGCTTCTCCTTCATGTTGCCCTTCACGCCTTTCAGGGGGAGCAGCATGACCGCGACGAAGATCGCAAGGCCCGACATTGGGAGGTTGATCCAGAAGCACCATCGCCTGTGGACGTGGGCATGCCGTTAGATGAGCGATGTGTGCGAGGGCACAGCGGACGCAATGACATACCATGTTGTATATTGAGAGAATATGCCTCCCAGGATCGGGCCGATTCCATTGGAGACGGCTATGGTGCCTTCTTGGATACCTTGATATTTACCCCGGTCTTTGAGATTGACGATATCGGATGTACTACAATGAAAGGTAATGAGGTTGTCACGCGGATATTGGAAGGGGAAAATGCACGTACATTATAAGGACCATCGTGATGATAGCTGACAGAATCGTTCAGGCTATTTCCGAATATCTCCGAACGGTTGTAGACACACCTCCGCCTCCTATTCCTTGAAAGGCTCGGAATACGATAAGCTATGGGTGGGTCAACAGCCGTAAGTCCGAGACAAGAGCGCTCGGGGGTAGGAGAGGGACGCACTTGTATCATAGACTGGGACAAGGCGCATGCCAGGGAGAATATAAGGAAGAAAACCAGCGAGAACAGCAAGACTGCCTTCCGGCCAAATACATCTGACCACCGCCCATATAACGGGGTGAAGGCAAGACTATATATTTCAATTAGTTTACTGAGCAAACTTGAACAGTCAACGATAGATCGCACCTCGTCAATAAATACGCTGTTGCAACCCAGGAGCTCTCTCGTCCCGAATGAAGGTCAGAAGAAATTCGAGGAAGAGCGGTCGCGACACTGGTCATACCAAATGTCAGTATGCTAAGATTCTCTCGACCCCGAAAGAGACATACATTGTCTGATCCAAGAACGAGCACGACAAGGCTACCGACAATCCAAGAAAGACCGTAATGACTTGTCGTGTCGGAAGGAAGTTAGTTTGGTCCTCGATAATAAGCTTGGTGGCGCCCCCGTCCTTGTTTGGCTTCTCGCCCTCGATTGTCGTTGGTACAGGCGCGTCGGGACCGCCTGTCTGAGCCGCCTCGGGCATCGTCACGATCGGGGAACCGTGATCGACCTGGGTCTGCTCATCCAGGTCCCTTTCTGCCGCGCGAGCATCATTGGCCGTGACGTCCAAGCCGTCGACTTGTTGTGGGCTCGTCATCATGCAAGCCAGTGGAAGGCGTCAGGCAAAACAGTGCGATGCAGGGCCGAGAATGACCCGCACACGAGGAAAAACAAGATATTCCCTTGCAGAACATTATAAATGGCGTCCGCGGAGGTCGGCTCGCCCTGCCGCAGCGAACAAGTAGGACATCCGCCAATGGCACGATAAGAACGATATTAGAGTGATGGTCTCGTGGACCGCCGAGATGCCGATACCGAAATGGCAGGCGCTATGCCTTTCTTGGGTGGGATACTTGCTGTTCTGTCCTGGCGTCTCGTAGATGCAATGCCATACGGAAGTGTACGCAGAGATATTAATCATGGAGCCCTTTTCATGGGGCCTTGAATATATGTACCCTCAGCCTTACCGTTTCATCAACCTGTAGTTTTATAATCGCCCCGGGATCCCTCCGTGGCTTGCGGGCCACATACTAGTTTTAGTAATACAGATGACAGGCGCCATACCGATTCACGCACATTGATAACTTCCAAACAATTAGTATACTGGATGACTTCCCTTCAGACGTCGATTAAGTGCTTGCTCACTACTGCCTCGAAGTCACTGCCAGATTAGGACTCGGAAAAGCTCAGAATTCCTCCGATCACCTTGTAGGAGACAATCGATGACTTGTGCAAATGGCCGATACATCATTCTTCCAACCACTGTCACAGGATTGTAACCCAGTCTATGAGTCCGAGCCTCGAAGCTCAGCTCCAAGGCAGCAGAGTTAGCCATTCAGTGCCGTCGGCAGTTGATATCTACACTGCTTCGTAGCACTTACCGTGATAATATGTCGCCATAAGGGAGGCAAATGACCCGGAACCCGTAGTAGCCTGAGGACGGACCTCGATTTGAAGAAAGATAAATAATACTGCAGCTTTCACATCGAGCGTACAACAGGATACTGACCACTGTATCAAATGCGAAATCTGTGTACGACAATCTGAAATCAGTGGCTGTGCTACCCAGGTAAAAGGAAATCTTCGGCTGCTCAGGTTAGGGTAATGCGTCCACCATTACGTCTACCATCTATTCAGCTACACTATGCCTCATAAGCGAGCCAAACGATCTGTAAGAGAGCAGCAACTCGCGCAAAGGTGTGTAGAAGGACGAGAAATCACGACACTCCCGGGAAAGCTAAGTGTCTGACAGAGGTAGCGACCTCGCACCTGGGAATATCTCGGTTTCTGCGGAGGGAATTCCCAAATCTATGGCAAGAGTTCTAAACGCTGCCAAGCTGCACGCGGAGTACAGGAAGCGGAAGAATGAAGATCAGAATGAAGGCGGGAAGAAGAAGAAGAAGCGGAAGGTCCAAGGCGACCGAGCTGACAAGGCGGACATGAAGATCTTGCCTGGGGAGAGTCTCGCGCATTTCAATCGGTGCGCAAACATGATGATGAGATGCGTTTTCTATCTAACTTTTCTTAGACGGGTGGAGGATGCGATGCGACCGCTGGTACGAGAGGCTGTGCAAGCCTCGTCCGCGCTGGAGAGGAAAACGCGGAAAGAAATGCTGCAAGAGAAGGCCGAGAAGCAGAAAGCGAAATCCGATGAAGTAATAAAGAAACAGCAAAAGAGTGAGGACGCCGAGCCGGAACGACCAGACAAAGCACCATCACCCGCCAAAAAGACCGACTTCCCCACACTCTCAACGTCGCAGCCGCGCAGGCTCAACGACATTGCGTTGGCGCCCCCGCAATTCACCAAGGTGCCGAGACTACGGAAAGGCGAGAAGGCGGAGACGACGAAGGCTGAAGGGGTGCTGTCGATGGCACAAAAGCAGATGATGGAGGCGGAAAGGGAGAAGGCTATCCAGCGATATCGGGATATGAAGAAGGCGAAGCTGAGGGAAAGCGGGAAGCTGTGGGCGGAGCAGGGTGAGGTGCCGAGTGGGTCGTGATCTTGGTAAAGTCCGTGTATAATGAGGTCTGGCTTGTGAGGGTGCTGACGTTCGGCACTAGGGTTGTTTGGCTTAAGAAGCTATGTACACATTTATTCATGATCAGGACATTCATTTCGTATACCACATGATCGTAACGATACCAGTGACTTCACCTTACTCTGCCGCCTGACGAGTCGCCATTGTCATGGCCGTCACGTTACGGAGCCCTCGCCTCGACCGCCGAAGAGATTGCTGGTCACAACGGCCAAGGGGGCCCAATTCCTCATCCACATCCACGCCATCGTTGAGCGCCCGGTCTAGCACATGCCCTCTCTGTTTCGAAGGCTGACCGATGGCGGGATTCAGACGGTAAGAACAATTTGCACGGATCCATTATGATTGAGCAACAACTATATACAGCTATGCAGACAACAGACTGGAAATCAAAGCAGACATGCGTGGCCGAAGCCAATAAATATGTGGTGCTTGCAAACGCCTTTTAGTGGATCTTGATGGTACAGTGATGCAGCGGAGTGCCCGCTCAGCACAGGCGGATGAACCTCCAATAAGTGCTGTTGGGGGGCTGATTCTATCTGTTAGGCCCGTTCAATCAGGACGTGGTATGAGGGGCCTACCTCGTTAGTGCTGTTACTGACGTCTAGAAGGCATCGCATTCGAGTAAGTACCAAGTTCAATCCAAGCCACATTGACATGGATACACTTACGGTCAATCAAACACTCGTAAACAGCGACCTTCTTGTGGGTCTCCGACCACACGCTGCAAGTGGAGTTCTTCATCCAGCGGTGGTTTTCGGCCCAGATAGTGGTGAGCTTCTCGACACCGTTGGCTTGACGCGGTCCAGGGCTGATGACCTTCGACATGATGGATGACCGATGGTTAGTGGATCGTAAGACAGGCCGGTTTTGTTTTGTAGGAGGGTCGATGTGATGCGCCGCCGGGGCTAGAAGTTGTCGATGGGACTCTTCGTTGCAGAGGACCGTCTTATATACCTGCGGAAGACAAAGGAATGTTGTGGCAGGCAGGTTGTACGTAAGTGCATGAAGGCAGGGTGGCGCGAGTTGCTTCTGTGTGGCTTTGATGGATGATTGCTCCTGATGGGGACACAGGACACCGGCTGACGGACCAGGTGGGCTGATTCACGAAATTTTCTGGACGCGCTCATCCGTTCGGACGCTTTGTATCCCAATAAGGATAATGTTTCGTCTTCTCTCTAGGTTCAGGCCAAACTTCTCTCCATCTTTCCCTGATGGATGGGCAAACCATTCAGGCTCCATGCGAATTCATCAAACCGACACCCACAAATCCATGCACTCGCGCTTGGATGAGCAGTCCGGCCGCGTTGCTGTGGCACGAGCCACAAAGAAGACACCCTTATCATATGGTCCATCAGCAAATCGCGGTCCAGATTCGGACGACCCTGACGCTTGGACGGATCTCCCGAGCCACTCGGCGATGCATGAGCGCCGGGTACCCCAGGACCGAGCGTATAAAAGCGCCCTAAGGTCACTCTGTGGAGGTAACATCATCTACTCTATCCTGAGCCACCCATTGATACTTGCTGTAAACATGTCGGAGTTCGTCGAAAACGGAGTCAAGATCCATGTCATCCTCGCCAAGCTCGGCGACCACTTTGGAGATCCCGTCGGTGAAATCGAAAGGGGACCGCGAGGTGCGTACAATATAAATCAGGTACTGATTTTCACCGATTGAGCGGTTTGTGATAGGGAGTCATCATATGGTCAGTCCTCCTGACGATGAATCTGCGTTGCGGGTCATTCATACATTGATTTCAGACGTACATCGTCACCCAGGAAAGTGGCACCAAACGACTCCTTAGAGTCAGTTACCCCGTCTTTAAAGACTTCGGTTCTGGTATCGTGCCTCCCTCGAAGATGAAGTCTGAGGTAAGGATAGCGCAATGGAGACGGTAGTGTCGCTCACGTCTATGCGCTCAACAGATAGCGACGATCAAGTATGTCCGAGAGCATACTAACATCCCCGTCCCGGAAGTCCTGCTTCACGACAGTGACGAAGATGGGAGCGTCGGAGCTGAATGGATGGTTATGGAATACGTGCGCATCACCTTCCTACTTGCACCTAGAGGGGGCATCTGAGAAAATATCAGGTGAACAGCCTCCCGCTCTCGCAGATGTGGTTCTCGATGTCGGAAGATCAACGCCAAGGCGCTGTTCAGGGCATCGCAGGCGTCTTCCACCAACTCCTCGGTCTCAGGTTCGACAAGATCGGCAGCCTATACGAGAACGAAGAAGCAAAGATCCACGTCGGTCCGATGACCTTTATGCCCTCGAACAACACACGCGACACGGCTCCTCCCAATCCGGCGAAGTGCGGGCCCTTTGAGTCTATCAAGCAGTGGCTCCTGGCTCTTGCTGCCGGAGACCTCAACTTCGAGTCGACGAACGTTGACGAGCCCGTGGAGGCTGAGCGCAGGGCAGCCGTTATAGAGGACATCACTTCCACCACAATATTTGAAGACGAGTCCTTGAAGGAATTCTGCGCCATCGTCTTGGAGCACGTCGACCTCAAGGTCAACAACTTCCTGGTCGATCCCGAGGATCCCACCAAGATACTAGGCGTCATCGACTGGGAGGGTGCGAGGACCGTGCCCTTGTTCGCCATCCAGCCCCGGTGGTACACTCCCCTGGGGACCCCGCCCGAATGCATCTCTTCTGAGGAGGTGACAAAACTGCAGGTGTCTACTCGTGAAGCCGTCCAGACGCTCTCCCCTGCGTGGTATTCCTCTACCGAGGATCCTGGCCGTGCTTTGCGAGAGGTGTTGCATCGGGCGATCCACAGTCGGTTGGATCCGGAGATGTTCGACTTCGAGTCCATGGACTGCTGGCATCGGGGGGCGTGAGTAACGTTGCAGGAAGACTCTTTTTAGAATAAATGCATTCCCATTGTACTTGTAGTCGATCGAATCAATTGTGTGTGGGGGTGCATTTCCTTGCTGATAGCGCTGTCCGCTGTATTCATGCGTGGCACTCAGAGATGAGACTGGCAAAGGTGAACCTCGTACATCGAGGGAATAATTGCAATAAACAATGGGTGATTCTGCCGCAAATACGATGGCTGTATCTTTCGGGTGCACCACGGAATAACTACAGTGTAGTACCACAGAAAGGACAGTGCCACCTCGACCTCGGAGAAATTCCCGCTACCTTGGGGAGCGGGTCTTGCGACCAAGTGTGTTCGCACTTTCTCCGCCATTTTACCTAGCAAGGTCTCTGCTTGTCGGGAATTGAGCCATCAAAACTGTATTTGTTTATATTTGTTTGTGGCGTGTGCGTTGTTCACGCGCATCATTTCGCGCCACAGGCCGTTCTCCTCTGCCAACCTCGGACTAAATGATCTATTCCTGCACAATAAAGAGAAAGTTTGATTGCGAGCGAAGCGAGCAATTCTTCACTAGGGCAGAAGTCCGCGACAAACATGTACAAAGTCTACTCCCGGTGGCTGAGGGACCCACAAACACTTCATGATATTGCTAGATGCTCGTATATCCCTCAATTCTTCCTATGTACCTGTAGATTAACTCGTTGAATACATCCCTTGTTATTTGCTGAAAGCCATGGAAAAAACCACTGCAAAAATCGTGCTGTGTAGCCCAATATGTGCCCATATAACCATGCCACGAACTGATTCTCCCTGACTGATAGACACAACAAATATATACATACTGCCTATGGCATCTCTCGTTCTGCTAGTAAACGTTGGAGCTATGCTAAGAGGTGCCGCCCCCACCATCGAGTGCGATGTTATGCAGCGTTCGCGCGGGCGTGTCGCGTCGCGTCGCGCTGCCTCAGCGCCACTCACGCGATGCTACCACAAAGCGTTATGTGGCCGCGTCGCGTGGGGATAGCTGTGGAGGTAAGAAAGCTGGCATCGTTGTTTTTGTACTCGCACGAACACTCAACCGTCTCTCTAATCCCATGCCTGCCCACAGTCGAATCCGAATCCCGTCCCGGTACTGCATCCCCTCGCACATGTCAGGTATGACTGGGACCGAATATCAGTGCTGCAAGGCTGCACCACGATGCGCTCGAGCCGAGCGCCGCCTTCTTCGGGACCGATATGTTATTATGTTAACATCTTACTAGCTAACAGAAACTGCAGCCTATGCTTCCAATCATTCCGGTCATCGCAATGAAAGCAACATTTTGAACATGGTGGCTAGCCCGCGTCTCGCAGCCAAATCCCTCTGCATCTCACATGGGCAGTGACTGTACACAAATCTCAGACATTGCAGAGGGCAAGAATCGGCCTTGGGTCAAAGCAGTTCTGTGCAGGTCTCACTTTTGTGGCATTTTCAAGGGTTCGGTGATATGCACAGACACACAACAATCGCCAAGGACCAAAGGAAATAAACCTAAACCCCGTGATATGGGTGAAGGTGGTCCAAGACAACTGAAGGGTATTTAATAGTTCGAGGGGGAAAGGAGGAGTAAGACGCCGTAGGGTAGTCCGTAGGAAGACCTAGAAAAATAAAACAAAACCTTGACACCTGAAACAAACACTAATGGACGCTCCAGAGTATTTATCTCCGAAACGGCGCAAGCAAAGTCGCAAACCACGGAACCGAGTGTAGGTTTGGGCCCACGGAAGTAAGAAACGCTAGAAAGACTTGTTTAATTTTATTTCGCTATGTGAGGCTCACCGGAGCTAATTGAATCGATGGCGGAGATAATTCACTCGACGAGTCAGGCCTATTGGCAAAGCTAGGATCGGTTATAATTCGCTAAGTTCGACGCTTTCGAACTTCTCGGGTCGCTGAGATCGTAACGCTAATTCTCTGAGATGGTGAAGTCGAAACTTGTTTTTCTGTACACTACTTTGTACAATTTATACTACAGGAATGGCTTTGCGACCGTTCGGAGATAAATAACAAATAAACGCCGCTACCCACAGGATTGCTCAGCACTTTCCTCCGCTATACCATACACCATACGACTCTCTTGCGCTCCTGCTTGCTCTTTCCAGCCCCTATAGGTCACCTCGACGCTCCGCCACCTGACCCAAGCGGTCCCATCACTCCGTGTGACGCGCTGGTCACGTGCTAATTACCTCCGGCTGCTTGCTGACTGATACTGGCCTCATGGTGACTCGTATGCGTCCGCACCTTCGGTATCTTGACGGAAACGAGAGAGGGAGTATGCTGGAGGGTGGGAATGAGGACGACACCCCTCAATGGAAGTGTCCGCGGGCCCCGGAGCTAATTCACCTAGACGTTGCATTGGTTAAGTCGCTCCGGAGCTCCTGTTCGCGGAGATAAATCATGGAATGGGTCCGTGTACGCCTCAAGGATGTTAGGAAGTCCGGAGCTAAAACCAGAGCAAGTCTTTAGAGCCCATAGAAGCCTAGAGGCGTGTGAGCGCTGTGTCGAATAAGCTCTGGAGGGCTTGTACGATGCACTGAGTCCACGTTTTCGGGGGTCAGACGATCCCGAGGCTTATCATCGGGACATGCTCCTGGTTGATCAGGTCGACTACAACCGGGTGAAGAAGTGGGCGGGTAAGAATCTGGATGAATGACAAGATGAGTTCAGACATAGATACATATTACCACGTGGATACCTCTGCATATCTACATTTACTGAAAAATATCGCCGGACACCCCTAGCTCTTCGAAGCGAGCAACTCGGCGCAACCGCGGATCACTAGTATGTACGACCCTCAAAAACTTGTCAGTAGAGGGCCATTGCTATGCATGGCAGGACACGAGTCCTGAGTTGTGTCTGATAAGTGTTAGCATTGGGTGTATAGATGTTCCAATTGATGTATACAGTACTCTTTCTTATGCACATATTGAAATCCCTTAGATCTGTATCTGCAATGTCCCCTTCTTTCCTACTTTCAAGTTGTCCTCCTGTGGCTCTGTGATCATTGTACCATAAAATGTACCATAAAAGTCCCTGCCACTCTGACATATTTAAAGTTGGTCTGTATTGGTGGCTTCAAAAAGACTACGAAATTGTATTTGTACCCAGCCCAAGGGATAGCAGCAGCTGCACTACTAGACACAATTAACAAAGATCAAAGTACACCTCTGCTGCCAATCTTTGATTGGCAGCTCTGTGACACAGGTCTTTTGTCCCCAGTGGAAGAGATAGTCAATAATACCTGCAGACTCCAGGTAACATCCTACCAGAACCAGAGTGCTTGTCCACTGCCAATCTTTGTTTGGCAGCTCCCTCGCATTCATTTTCCCAAACCAAGCTGAAGGACAGTCATCAGAAAGGGTACTCAAACAGTACTCCAATCAGCTGGGAGCAGAAATAATATATATATTACACATGTACTAGTTTCAATTTCTCAAGGGGACATATAGAGACCACTGAGCAGAAGAAATCAGGGTTCCAGAGGCAGCAGAGATTGAGAAACACAGGCCCAAGATGCCTGTGACCAAAGAGACTTGTATCATAGTCTCTGCCACCCACATCTTGACTCAGACTATGTGAAAAACACTCAATGTTGAGACTAATTCCCACAGTAACAATCCATCAAACTATTCAGCAGTCAGCATCTTATTTCAGAACACAAGTGCAACATTCAAGAACCTCTTATAGCCAACATAAGCTCAATGTGTATGTACCAGTAATGATTTAATTAAAAGGAAGCACAGCCCACCAAGTTGACATGCTTCAACTGCTGCAAGTACTAGACTAATGAGCGAGTGGGTAACTATGACATCACTCAACTACAGAAATGCAGTTTTTGCAGTCAAGCTATGTCATAGTAAGCAGGAGCCAATGAGAAGCCAGAGATCCCACAGAAGTCAATTCCCACGGTAACAACATGCCACACACGACAAAGAGCATGCAGTAAAGGAAGGAGATACGATCAAATGCTGCAAATATTCCAGTAGACGGATAACCTAAAAAAACCTCTTCGTAGAAGAAACTACGGAAATACATGAACAACTCAAGATGAAAACACAGTGTGATTGCAAACAGACACTACAAATACCAATTTTGTAGTCTTTTTGTAGTCTCCAATACAAGCGGAAATTGAATTTTGTATTCAAGACTACAGCACAAAAGTTGCACGAATTCTCAGCAACACTGATTCCCATGGGTACAATGTTTGGCACACATCCCATTTTGCAGGTAAGGACTGATCCTTCGTAAACGCAGGACTCGTAATCACAGCCAATCACAATTGAGTAATCGTAATCCCTACTGCACAGACACATAGCGTGCGAAAATCAACCACTGAAATACATAATTCACACGCTAACTAATAATCTAATCATCGAAATAACAAGCAACCACGATACTTGCTGAAACAACACAGTACAACACACCAAAAAAAACAAAAAACAAAACAACTACACACAAACATGCATCCAACACACAAAGCACCGAACAATAAGTCTAACATAGCAAAGCACAAAGGTAACACCCAACACCCAACAATGACATAGCACAACCGCTATTCTGAATACACGCACTCAAGTTGTGTCATAAGGAGATAGCAGCCAATCACAGCCATCGAATCCCAACCGGCGCGGCGATATGCCTCAGCCACCGACTACAAACCGCCACAAAAGTCAATTCCCACGGTAAGAACATGCCACAGATGACAACGAGCATGCAGTAAAAGACCAGCTGCCACACCGGGCACTGATTCTCGCATTGGCATTTATTGGTATTTTCGGGGGTCCTTTGGTAACATGGACTACATGTACTCATACACTTGCAACTCTCCTTTAGAGTATTGGTTGGACATTACCCTGCGATACAGGTCACATGTAAAAAAATGTGTTACTACTAAGTGAGTTATGGAAGGCTCTTGTCTAGCTTGTTGCGGGTCAAATTAATAACTCTAAGAGAAAATATGGAGCTGGCTAAGTCTGACTGCTGGTCCGGAAATTTTGATATGCAAGACCATTATTCTGCTTCCTGGCTCTCGAGAACCCCTCATACCAGTGACACAGAGCACACGAGACTATGAGCTTTGAATCTTCCATATATTCCAAGGTAGCGGGCTCTGCCGCCCGGAGGGTGGCGCTACCAGCCTTATCCGATTGGAGCCTTGGGCCAATCAGATGCGTCACTGTCACTCGGCAGGGGCCGCAGAAGCGTCAGCTTTTGCTTCCGCCAAAAAACATGAAGCTCACCAGTCACTGTCTCCACTACTTTGCTACGCCTTCTATCGACTCGGACAACTGGAGAAACTTGCGTATAATCTGCTAGAACATGCGCAACTTGCTACTTAACTGGTCGCAGACGCGAGCTTGCTTGGACGGGTCCACTAATAAACGGACGACATTCAGCTATATATACTTATCGCAATATCACCAAGTCATTATTTGCGGCATGGCTGCGCAATAGACAATGCCGTCAACCGACTACAGACTATACCTGCTATTGTGACATCCATCAGCATGAATGCTGGCTCCGAACTCACTCCTCTTGCTGCGATGCCTTAACTGGCGATACATGCTGGAATTCATTGGGTACCTTTTGGACGTGTCACAGATACATGTTCTGCAGAGCCCCGTCTTGCTCTCGTTTAACTATTGGAACTACAGCATGCTCTTTTGTAGCGCTTGATCTATCCTGGCACACTGTCGTCAGGTTCTGAATACTATGTGGTGCGCAAATTGTCTGCTGACAACGTTAACGGGTCCTCAGGATATTCGGATATTGTGGCTGTCTCCTCGCTCAACCTCACAAGGGACAAACCGCGGATCCTGATGTGTTTCTTTTGTATCATGAAGATTGTTTGAATGGTCACAGCGGCCCTACTGGGGTATAGATATCCGAAACAGTCCTTTGTGCGCACGCTGTCTCGTGTTTGGGTTCGCGACTATGCTGGTATAATGTCGTGGGGCGCCATATAAGTATCTCTTCAGTGTTGCCACACAACGCGCGTGAACTGGTCACGTGCGACCTCGTGTGGCATTCCATTCATTCTATCAGGTCTGACCGGTTCTTTCGCTCTCCTTCACAACCCCCGATTTTTCCTATCGTACCGCTCCGCCATTATGCTGAGTAAATACCACTCGGCGCGCTGGATCGACCAACGGGTGCTACAGGACCGGATCAGTGACGCTTTGTCTGAGCCCTGCGAGGAGCTCGAGAAGTTCTCGGGGCCAAGTTTCTCAGAAGTTTCACGTCGGTCTACTCGTGATCCGGGCTTAGGTAGGCATCACGCGGTAGGTTGCCATTACCCCGCCTAGGTACTGTACTGATTTTCCTGCCGTAGACGCTCATCGCCACGATGGCAAGTGGCACGAAGAGATTTGTCAGAGTTCACTATCTAGTCATAAAGGAGGAAGGATACCTATACGGTGCTTCTCACACCCTTAAGATGTCCTCTGAAGTGAGCACATCACCATCCTTTCTGTGGCAGTGAGAAACGAGTACCTCCTCCTGTTGTTATCCAGATAGCCACAATGATGTTTGTCCGGCGAAACACTCGAATACCCGTACCGGACGTATTTGCCTATGACCCTGACGAAGACGGTGCCGTGGGCGGCGAGTGGATGGTCACAGAATATGTGAGTAGGCATACTGTAGTACCGCCGGCTACCTTTCCATGCGACCTTCCTTCCAGATTGATGGCGTGCCACTGGACAACCTTTGGCCCGGAATGACCAGGAGAGAACGCCGTCGCGCCGTCCTCTCTATGGCGCATATCTTCGCTCAGCTCCTGAGGCTTCGGTTCGATCATATTGGCAGCTTGTATGAATCTGATGACGACGGGCACTTCGAAGTCGGCCCCATGGCCTTCCTCCCATCCCACGAGAAGAAGGTTCCCCCGAATGAGCACATGTGTGGACGCTTTCACTCGCCACGGGAGTGGCTGCTGGCTCTTGCACGAGGTGATCTGGATTACCGACCAAGTGGCGACCTGTGGGCTCCAGTCAAACACACCAAGGAGATTGTACAGAAGATAGCCTCCGACCCATTTATCCGCGATGGGACTTCGGACCCAATGTGTGCAATCGCTCTGCAGCACATCGATTTCAACATTTTCAATATCATGGTTGACCCCGACGACTCTGCGGTCATTCGCGGCGTTATCGATTGGGAGGGGGCTAGGACCGTCCCTCTTTATGCCATTCAGCCGGTGTTCTTCGTCGATTGGGACGGCGAACAAACGCTGATGAGTGAAGAGGAAGAGAGAGCGTATCAGTGGATGGCTCGTGTGACGATAGCGAAGAAAGTTCCCAGTTGGTTCGAGGCGACAGGAGATCCTGGGACTCCGTTACGGAAATTGCTGATGCTCGCTTCGCATGGAGACTTGGAGGAATTCGATTATCGGGACGCCTTGCATCAAGGTCGTGCACCGCCAGAGGATTCACATCTGGATCTTTCGGCTTCTGAGGATGAAACTGCAGTCTCTGGCGAAGATTTGTAATGTGGTTTGCACGAATCTCGCATCTCTGCAGCTTTACTTCTAGTATGTTCACGTACGTTGAGTACAGAATTCCATGTTGCAATCTTGAACTTGTTCAAACAGAGTGGTCTTCTGTCGTGAAACCTCCAGCGTTCTGGCAGATTTCAAGCCAAGAGATTATGCCTCCACTGAACGTCGGTATGTCCTACGTATTGGGCCCCAGCTGTGAGTAGGCCGCATCATCCAAATATACTTGCGACCTCGAATCCAAGACCGAGTCCATAACCGCCATCCCCGAGCGCTCCATGGAAGTTTCGACGGTTACAATCATCCGATCATGTACGTGCGATGCGTGAGGGCACGAACCGTGCCACGCCGCTGTACTCTCGCGTATCTCCATACTGCACCCTGAAAGGCTTCTCAGATTGCGGATCTCCTCCGACTGTCCAGGATTTCTGGATGACGATTATATCCAACGCAATGGTGGTTGGGTCGTCGTATCGCATCCGTTGCAAAGCTGTTTGCCACCCTTGAAGGTCTGGTTCTTGAACAGAAGGGCTTCTTGTCCTGATAGGTTACCCCCTTCGGTGCGTTTTAACCTTATTCCCAGGGAGGATCCGGTTGAGAAGTACTTTCCCGGCTTGCAATATCAGCTCGAAGGTTTCGACCCCAAATTCAAGTCCCAACCGTCTTCTTTGACACTGTTTCAGCTAGCCACCCATATGTCAGGACTAGGGAGAGACTGGCCGGGAAGTCTCCGAGGAGGTGGTCCTCCCCCGACTAATGGGCACCGTTTTCCCTCCCACGAAGCTCTGTTCGAAGAAATCAAGACTATCAAGCCAGTCTCGCCTCCATGGACATACCCTTCGTATTCCAACACTGGAATCGGCCTGTTAAGGCTTTCATTGGTCCAAGCGAATCGAGTCGCCAGCAAGCTTGAGAAGGAGCCTGCAACGTATGCGGAGCTTCTCAAGCGCGATATATTCGACCCGCTTGGCATGAATCACAGCCATTTCCTTGCGACGGAGCATAACAAACGGATCATAACAAACGGATCATTGCAGTTCCTTCGATCGCTCCCGAAGTTGTTGTAAGCACAGTCCACAGCCTTCTCGTCCTGATCTCGGGAAACTAAGCTCTACTGAAGGACCAAGACTTTCTGAACGCGATGAACGCTGCGGGGGGCCAGTTCTCATCCCTTTCGGATTTGATAGTCGTCGTCGAGACCCTGCTTAATCCTGCATATCCTAATAGCTTGCTGAGAAGGCACACTCCTGATAACTGGCTCCGTCCGGTGCACGACTTTGAAGAGTATGATTGGACCCAGGTGGGGTTCACTTGAGAAATAGTCAAGACTCGGGATTCATACGGACGGACACGGAAGATATACTGGAAATGTGCGCGTTTCTTCTATGCCTCCCGATTCCGCGATCCTTCTAAACATGCATTGTTCAGTGGGAGCTATGGACGGTTATCATTCTGCTTTAGCTATTCATCCCGGCACAAGCTTCGGTATCGTCGTTCTCATGGCTGGCCGCTACCCCGATGCTGCACAGCTAGCGTATGATGCCTTTGAGATTATGCAGCCGGGTATAGATAAGGCACTCACCGACTTGGCAAGCGCCCTCTATGTCAGTATATGGTTGAGTCAAGGTAGAAATAGCGGTGCCATCATTACGGTGCAGAAGGGGACCTTGGACATGGAGCATCTGACTCTGAACGGAACCGACACTTTCGCCACCCTGCACGTATCACGCAGACCGACTCTCCAATCGAGCCAACCGCGGGATGAATTCAGGTATGTATGCAGTATCTTTACTCTAACATGGTCCTGACATAACCAATTTATTGAATATCAGATTGGACGGATTCTACAACGGGAAGAAACATATGGGCTGTTACCCTTATTGGAACGTTCAGGACAACTGGGCCATGCGAAACGTTGCTCCCAGCAATTTTTTAACTTCACTGGAGAGGGATAGCAACGGCTCTCCATGTACCCTCTGTTGACGTCTTGATGACACGAGTCCAGGTATGGTAGTGAGGTAGCGGGATCGGCCCGTACTCGATGCACGGCTTTGCTGGAAGGGCACCCTCCTTCTATACGTGCAAGATAGTACCTTTATATATGTATTGCTGTCGAGCCAACGGAGGAGTTCCCTCTCTGAGATAGCCGTGCTATAAACACCCTGAGGAGGTTCCCGCCACTCTTGTGTTTGTCCCAGCTTTCGACCCTGTTCAGCCACAGCGCCACACTCCACGTGCGACTCCCATCAAGGGAAGGAATATGGCCGGTGACATCATCGCACGTCAACTCCAATCTCTCCAGGATGTGATCCCAGGTATCCTCCTGTGCGGTATATAAGTTCTCTTCCCTTTCCATTCTACACCCATCATACCATAGTTTCCTCACACCGAACCAAATATTTCATCATGTCTGGCGTCAAAGGAGTCACCGGCACGCAGTCCCCCCCGCTCGAAGCCACGGGCGAGAACCGTCCGATGGGCGTGTCGAGCGTCGAGCAGAGCTCAGGCGAGGGCGTGAATGCCGTGAGCGACTCGGAGCAGCGCGGAGGTGAGTAGCGCCCCCTTCTCCCATTCACAGGGTGTTGATGATATGTTTCTGACCTGCCTAGCATACTTCAAGGAGGGCGATAAGGAGCGGACGCAGGCGGAGGGCCATGGGGTTTCGGTAGGTTATGACATTTGCTAATTGACGGTGGAGGCTAGCTGCTGATTGTGGGCTCAGGCTGAGAAGAAGACGTCGTGATCTGTGCTTATAATGAGGAGAGGAGAGGGAGAAGGAGGATGTTGTACGAATATAATGGAGTTGGGTATAACTTCATAGAGTGCAATTGTAGGAGTCACAAACAGACGACAATTCAAGCGATTGTATCAATCTGTCTTCGCTCTATTGCTTCGCCGTGAATTGTCTGTCAAGATCGTACTCGTACACGCCCGCGAAACTGCTTCTGGTCTTTGTGCTCCTACTGATTCTTTGTGAGGTATTCGGTCCACCACTCCTCGAACAGAGAGCACCCAAGCCCCCCCTCTACGCCCAGGTCCTCCGTCTCCCTTGTGTACAGCTGACAGTCCCTTGGGCGCGAGGTCGCCGCCGCGCCCGTGGGCGGCTCAGCGTCGGGCACGACGTGATCGTGCGGCAGCCCGAGGATCTTCGCGAATATCAGGCACATCTCGTACTTCGTGAACGGCTCTGGCGCGGAGTAGTGCAAAATGGGCGGGAGCGCGCTGCCCTTGAGGGCTGTCGAGCAGACCAGCCCATCAGCCTTCCTTAGACTCGGGATGCAGATGGATGGGGAAGAAAAGCGCACCTGAGAGGCGGACGAGGAAGTCCGCGATGTCGAGCACATTTGTCGGGTAGCGCGTCGCGTAGTGGTCCATCTTGTACGTCTTCCCCGACTGGTCCTTCACGACGTCGACGAGGATGTTCACCGCCGAGTCGGCGTTGTTCGGCGTCGGGCCGTACCTGGACAAAAATCAGCGTCGCGCCAACGGAGACAGCTGTGGCAGCGCACAGAACGGGCACGCGGAAGACGACGGCCTTCGCGCCCTGCACGCCGAGCACGGCGATCTCGCCGTCGCGCTTGGTGCGGCCGTAGAGGTTGACGGGGTTAGTCTCGGAGGAGGGGGTGTAGGGGGGTGAGGTGCCGTCGAAGACGTAGTCTGAGTTGGGCGAGCGTGCCAGTGAGATAAGCGCTACGTTGGATGGATCGGGACGCGTACCAGTCGATATGTAGATCAGGGTGAACTTGAGTTCTCGGGAGAGGACGGCGATGTGTTCGGAGACGGCTACGTTTAACTGGACTACGATCAGAACGGCTGCGTGAAAAAATAGACTTCGCGTTCACCTGTTGCGCGCCTTCAGGATTCTGCAGCAAACCCCGCCATCAGCAGCTTCACTTGGTATCTAGTACAGAAACGCACCTTCTCAGCCACGTCGGGTCTCCTCTCCGCCGCACAATGAATCACCCCTTCATCCATGCATCAGCCTCCCGCCAAGACTCAACGGAACTGACGATGCCGCACAATTGGGCTTGAACTCGCGGAAGACAGCCTCAACCTGCCCTTTGTCGGTCAAGTCGACTTTCTTGAGGTCGCCGGTCGCGCGAGAGTGCGCGAGCCCGAGGACGTCGTGACCGGCTTGCTTGAAGGCGTTGTACACCGCCGAACCGAGGAGACCGGAGGCACCTGTGCGAGAGTTGGTTGTTAGACTAAGACCGGCTCGTGTGGAACATATAATTCACCTGTAACCAAAACTTTCATATTTCTTGTAGTTCAATCCTCTAAAGGTGGCAGTTTGACAAAAGCACCGATGATGCGCGATGATGAAGGGATCTGAGTTGTCTCGCGATTCAAGTTGTGGAGATTGATCTGGGGTCAAGGTTACTCCGAAAGACACAGCCACAGTGCTTCTCGGATAGGTCCGGATGTCAGAGGCAGCATCGGTTCCGCGAGCATCTCAAATTTCATGAAGGCCAACTACAAGGTGTGCTCGTCCAGAGTCTATATATTCTGTGCAGGGGAACTGAAGGATGTGTCTTGGATAGCTCTCTAATGTCCTTGGGACTGTTTACCGGCAGGGAAATATCGTTTTCACGCCAGATGGGAATTCGGTGCTGAGTCCGGTCGGGAATCGCGTTTCGGTGTTTGACCTCGTGAAGTGAGTAGATGCTTTCTATACGGAGAGGTTTTTGGCATTCTGGGTTCTGGGTGTTGGCAGTAGGGACATGGGTGGTATGGTGTGCGGGTCGTCGAGCCCCTCTGTCCCAGCGGGGTCTTGACTGGTACGGGGTACACCGAAGGATGCAGGGGTGGCTTGGTCAGCCGGGGTTTGCCATTTCTCATGCATTGAGTACACGTCTACCTGCTGGTACACGAGCCACTCGTTGGTATGGGTGTAACGCGGGCAGAGGTGGTATATCCCGGCAAGGCCTAATTCTCAACCTAGTTGCACGTCCTCCTCCGGTCTTCTGCAGCGTCTAACATGTACTGCATAGCAACAAGTCATTCACGTTTCCATTCGAGAACCGCAAGAATATTGCCGCCATTGCCCTTAGCCCTGACTCGAATGTCCTCATATCCATTGACGAAGGTGAGCTGAGTGATATCCTCCCGGATACATTGATTTATCTTTTTTAGATGGACGAGCTTTGCTGGTGAACTACCGAAGGAGGGTAGTCCTTCATCACTTCAATTTCCACAGACCAGTCAAAGCCGTGAAGTTCTCACCGGATGGAAAGTACGCAGATGTATCCCTTGCTCGCGATTCTATGATTAACCGACCGGTTCCAGATATATTGCCGTTACCCATGATTCGCACGTGCAAGTGTGGCGGACGCCCAACCACCTTGTGCGAGAGTTTGCACCCTTTGTGCTGCACAGGACATACACGGGCCATCACGACGAAGTCCTGAGCATCGAATGGTCTCCCGACTCAAAGTACATGTAGTTGATCCTGGTAATGTGTCTGTGACTAACGCTTTATCTTCTGTAAGGTGTTTCATTACTACATCCCGCGATATGACGGCGCGGCTATTCACTCTGGACCCACTTGAAGGGTTCAGACCCAAAACGTTCGCTGGCCACCGAGACGCCATCGTGGCTGCATACTTCTCGTCCGACGGTGATCATGTGAGCTGTAGGCCCTGTTTAACTCAATCTGTTTCTGACATCCCTTAAGATATACACCGTCAGTCGAGACGGTGCTGTGTTCACGTGGAAGGCCAAGACGCCCGAAGACATGGGGGACAGCGACGACGAGCAGCCGGGCGAGTCCTCTAAATCCACGCTAGACGCTAACAAGATCGCCAACACCCGGTGGGGCGTCTCCAAGCGGCACTACTTCAATCAGGCGCACACTAAAGTCGTCTGCGCCACCTTCCACGCGCCCTCCTCGATGCTCGTCGTCGGCTTCTCGACGGGCGTCTTTGGCCTCTGGGAGCTGCCCGCCTTTACCAACATCCACACCCTGTCGATCTCGAACGAGAAGATCTCCTCCGTCGCGATCAACCCCTCGGGCGAGTGGCTCGCGTTCGGCGCAAAGAAGCTCGGACAGCTGCTCGTGTGGGAGTGGCAGAGCGAGAGCTACGTGCTCAAGCAGCAGGGCCACTTCTTCGACATGAACGCGCTCGCGTACTCGGGCGACGGCCAGCACATCGCGACGGGCGGCGACGACGGGAAGGTCAAGGTGTGGAACACGACGAGCGGGTTCTGCTTTGTCACGTTCGCCGAGCACTCGGCCGCGGTGAGCGCGGTCGAGTTCGCGCGCGGCGGGCAGCAGGTGCTCTACTCGGCGTCGCTCGACGGGACCGTGCGCGCGTTCGACCTCGTGCGCTACCGCAACTTCCGCGTGTTCACGTCGCCGCAACCCGTGCAGTTCTCGTGCCTGGCGGTCGACCCGAGCGGCGAGGTCGTCGCGGCGGGCTCGACGGACTCGTTCGAGGTCTTCCTGTGGTCCGTGCAGACGGGGAAGCTGCTCGACGTGCTGGCGGGGCACGAGGGCCCGGTGAGCTCGCTCGCGTTCGAGCCTGGCGGGGGTAATGTTCTCGCGAGCGGGAGCTGGGACAAGAGCATACGCCTGTGGAATGTCTTTGCGCGGTCGAGGAACGTGGAGCCGTTCCAGCTAAACTCTGACGTGCTGTCTGTCGCGTTCCGGCCCGACGGGAAGGAGCTCGCGGCGGCGACGCTTGATGGGCAGATCACGTTCTTCGACGTCGCGCAGGGCAAGCAGACGACGATCATCGAAGGCAGGAAGGACATCTCAGGGGGTCGGAAGGCGGACGACCGTGTCAGCGCGGCTAATAATGCGTCGGGCAAGTCGTTCAATAGCCTTGCATACACCGCGGATGGCAGGTGCCTGCTTGCTGGGGGCAACAGCAAGTACGTGGTGCTGTACGATGTGCAGGAGGGTGTCATGCTCAAGAAATTCCAAATTTCGGAGAACTTGTCTCTGGACGGCACGGAAGAGTTCCTGGATAGCAGGAGAGTCAACGACGCGGGGATCAACGTGGATCTCATCGATGACAGAGGGGACGAGAGCGATCTGCAAGACAGGCTGGAGAATTATAACACTCTTCCTGGCGCCCAGAGGGGAGATCTGTCCAAACGACGGTACCGACCGGAAGCGCGCACGAAATGCATTCGCTTCGCACCCACTGGGCGGGCATGGGCGGCAGCATCCACTGAAGGCCTGCTGATTTACTCTGTCGACGACAACGTTGCGTTCGACCCCTTCGACCTCGACATTGAGCTCACGCCACAGTCTATCATCAGTGTGCTCTCCAATAAGGAGTTCCTCAAGGCTCTCGTCATGGCGTTTCGGTTAAACGAGAGCCCCTTGATATCTCGGGTATACGAATCCATACCTTCGAGGGATATCCGGTTCATCGCGAAAGCTCTGCCCGTCGTTTACCTGGAACGCATGCTGCGCTTCATCGCGGACAGGATGGACCAGAATAGCCCGCACTTGGAGTTTGAGTTAACATGGGCAAGGGCGATACTGGGTGCGCATGGCCGAGTCCTCAGGGATAGGAGCATGGAATATGCTAGCGTTCTTCGGGGGCTGCAGAAGGGACTGGGAGAGTTTGAGACGGTGGTGGCAAAACTGTGAGTGCATTGTTGCGTTGCTCTCCCTCTCATGCCTAACTGACAAAACGCCCAGATGCGACCAAAACACGTCGACTCTGCAGTATCTCATTGACCAATCTCGTATGCGGGCAAATCAGGAACATGTCTCTGATATAACCATGACCAGCTAGTTGTTGCAAAGTGTACGATTGCTCGTACGAGTGCTACCATAATCTCAAAGGGTGCTCTGTGATACGACAGCACCAACAACGCAGCGGTATAGTTGTATCTGTCATCCCAACGGTATGCCAGTGGTCATACGAACCCATTAAACTTATGTTAATACATCGCTTCTGTACTACGCTATCAATCCTTGCAGGCGTCGGTCAATGCTTTCATAATCCGCTTCATCAAACCGCCAGGGGCTATCTTCTGCGCCCCTGAGCCACCTTCTGAGTTTCTGCCCCTCGTCTCCCATTGCGCGGAGCCACAGAGGTTCTCGTTCGCCCACGGCCCTGCAAGTGAGCAATTGGAGGTCTCGTACCTCCTCATCGGATGCTTCCTGTAAATGCTGGAAGAAGCGGGGCTGAATTGCCCACAGCGGAACTGTCCGAGCACCCTCCCAGTCGATAACGGCGACAATGCGAGTCGGATCGGCGTCGTCGACCAGAATGTTGCTGACATTCATGTCAATATGTTGTAAGGCAATACTGGATATTTCCATTCCCCCAGCTTCGTCCAACTCAGGGTTAGAACGCAGCTCCTCTACAAGTTCTTCGATATTCGCGAGCTGTTCGGAGCTGCGCGGCGCGTCCCGAGAAAAATCCAGCTGTCGAGCTGCTATAGCCAGAAGCCATTCCTTTGGGTTGTCGAATGGGCCGCATTGCGAGGGATCTGGTGGCCCTATATCTCTGCTGTTGTTCGATGGTAAGCGCGTCAGAGGCCCGACGAAGAAGTCGCCTTTGCCGTCTTCTTGAAGGCTGCCAATGTGGCTGAACCTGAGGCGAAGAAGTTGGGCCCAGATATCCGCAACATGCTTTGTGACTTGGCGGCGTTGGTCATCGGACATGGCGGCCCACGCCATGATCAGCGGGGTGCCGCGCACCTGATGGGCTCATACGTCCAGCTCGCACTACCGATGAATCTGATCCATAATGACTCAGACGCACATATTCCATGACCATCCACTCGCCGCCTACTCCTCCATCCTCGTCTGCATCGTACCCCAGGACGTCAGGAGCGGGAATCTGCGTATATTTCCGTATGTACTTGATGGTGGCGATCTTCCACGACATGAGTCACTCTCCTGGAAACGCAAGCGCTTATTTACCTCTGAGGGCATCTTGTTTTTCGGTGATATGCCTGCTCCGAACCGCTTGAGCTCCGGAAAATGGACTCGCACGAATCTTTGCTCGCCACTGCCCAACGTTGCCATGAATGTCTATGGTGGTAGCACGTCAGCTGGCTGTCATTGAAAGTACGGAAGACGGTATACTTTATGGTGACTACCTAAGTCGTGTCTCACTTCAGCCTCTGCGATTATCGCGAACGATAATGGCTCACCTTGAACATGTTCTTGGATTTCCTGAACATTATCGCTGAGACGCTTCCCCAATCTCTCCGCGAGGACGTCCTCACGGATCTCCATGACACTTTGTGTTCTCGAGTAGAGTCTAAGAGTGGGAGATGTGTTTGGACTCATTTAACTGGGAGAAGGGTATCACATAGCCTGAGCCACACGGGTAGTCAGGGTCGCCGGGATAATGCTTCCGATGATCCGAATATTGATGCGGCATCTTCTTGAACTTAGAATCAGTGGAAGGATGTGGCCAGCCCTCCCAAAGCTCCCTCCGAAAACCGATGGTTCGGGAGGTTTGAGACGGAAAACCTATCATGGCCGAACGGAGTTCCAGGTCGTTGAGGAGATGTATGGCATCGAGAAGAACGGTCCATGACAAGGTATTCTTTTGCCTTCAGGACACGACCCTGCATGCTTCTATGATGCATCAATTATTCACGGAACACAGAGAAGACCTACGACTGTGGGTACAAACCACATTTCCTCATATAAGAGCATGGCCTGGCTATTCGATTCGCAAGTTCACTCGACTTTCTATCGCACGTTAAATGTCTCAGAGTTCGTCTCAAGCACAACGACAAGGCCCTGGGGGCACCACCAAGCGATGGGAAATAGGGATTACCTGGGAACAGGGCTCGTACTGTGGCGTATACGACCCAGCCACAAAGCGAGTCACTACTTATTACTGTAGATTGGAACGTAAGTCTGCCTCGGTTGCTTCTCCCAACTGCCAGCTGAGCTGAACTTAACACCTCCAGACAAGTCTTCCCCCCAAACTCAGGTAATACTTCCCGTCGTAAAGAATTCAGAACACTGACCCCTCCACTAGCCCCCGAACAATGTATACTGGGAAATATACAGCGTCAACTAGGAGGCGCACTATGCATGCCTGAAAGGTAAGGAAGCCACCTGTGTTTCGAAATCGCGACTCACAAGGGGCAACAGTCAGTCCTAATGACATCGTCATCTCCATTCGTTTTAGTCTATCTTCACGAGTTGCCTGAGTTTCCTTAATTCATGTACCGGCACGATATCTGTACACTCCTTAATGTAGCGTTACTTCATGTAGGCCACCGCTCGGATCCAATTTACTCGTCGTTCTCCAGACTGATTAGCATCGACTCGAAGGCCCTTAAGATGATTAATTTAAGGGCCGAGACGCTGTATAATTCCTAATATTGGGGTCCATTACGTGGGAGAGAGAAGAGACCGGCTTGCAGAAGTAGCTCGCTGATGGTCGCCTTAAATTGCTGTCCCAACGAGGACACTGCTGAGAGGCAGGCGTAGATGCTACACGCTGCTACTCGAAACTCGAAAGGTACTACAATGCGAGAGCGCCGTGGTATGGTCGTATACACCATTAGCGGTATGCTAATCATGATGGCCACTGGCACACGAACTTATTGGACTCATGTTGATACATCGCTTCTGTACTACATTATCACACCTTGCAGGAGCTGGTCGACGTATTCATAATCCGACTCAGGAAAGTTGAACGGGCTCCACTCTGCTCTTCTCAGCAAGTGCCTGAGACTTAGCCCCTCCTCCCCTCGTGGCCAAAACGTTCAGAGTCTACACACGAACAGCGAGACAGGAAAATGTGGACCGGTAAGAGTGACTCCAGTGGCAAATGCAGTCGTAATGTGATTGGACGCCACAGGACTGGGCACTCACACGTGCCGAAGGTGTCAACGCCGATGATGCACATTTTGGGCCGTGTGGCGGCCTCGCCTGCCACAAAATAGGAGCAGCATAACTCCGAGGCAGACTAGC